ACTCTACTCCTCGTTGCGGCTGTGTTTTACTTTTGTCCCGAGTCTTCGTTGTACGTGACTGCATTTCTTCTTCTTTTTTCCTTTTTTTTTTTTTTTGTTCGCTCTACAATATTGTAAAACATGTATACTTATCCGACAATTTGTCACAGCCAACTTGGTGTATCGTTGCTATTGACTACAGCATATTGCGAGGTGGCCTGAGATTTAGATAGGAAAATGGTAAAAACACTTATTTACAGACTATTTTCAGAAAATGTCAAAGTACGGCTCAAATATCAGAAGGAGACAAAGCACCTTGAGAAAAGATGAACGTTGTCTTTGTATCCAGGCAAGAGTTTTTTTTTTTTGCTCGCTGAGCAGCTACGAAACAAAAACAATGTAATGATAAAATTTGAAGTGAACGTCACATGACATGCCCCCAAACAACCACGTATTATATACACTTATTTTTCAGAGTATTACCAGCACACCAAAACGATCATAAACGCGCAATCGGATTATTGCAGGACATGGTTGGATCAAAATACAGGCACCGATCGGAAAAATGGCACCACAATAGACTTTAAATTACTGCATTTAGCTTAAATATTCATAACACGAGTAAATAAAAAAAAACAACAACAACAACAAATAATTTAAGGCTTGGGGTAGCCGATTTTCTTGGCCTCGTTGAACATGGCGACGAGCGAGTCGAGCACCTCCTCGCTGTTGGGCACGATTTGATCCGCCGGGAGTAAGAAACCATGACGCCCCTTGTCCCGGAACTCGTACGTAAAGGCCAGAGGTATCTTGAGGGCACCCTTCGCGTAGTCTATCGAGCTGCCGCTAGCTTTGTCTGGAACCGAGTAAATACACACGTTATACACACACGCACACGAACATGGGCAGTCAAGAGTAGACGAAGAGAAAACACGTACATATGGTCTCGGCGATGTTGCCGTAGGAGTACTTGGTGCCGTACCTCCTGGAAAGAGAATTGACCGCCTTGGCGCTGATGGCGTACTGAAAACACACCACAATCATAAACGAGACAGTCGCATACTAGGACTAGAGAATTGCAGAAAACTCACCAGCTCGTCGTAGTTCTCCAGGTGGGCAGTGGTGTGGCCGTAGGGGAACAGGAGCAGCTGGGAGTAACTGTGGAACGATATGTACGCAAATACCCTGTGGCTCACGGACTTTAGGTACTCGGACAGGGTTTTCATCTCGATCTCCGAGAAGGGACGCTTACCCGCGTACGTTTCCGCGCACGCCTGACTACTAGCACCCGCCACTGTAACCAACCACGCATATAGTCTTATATATATATTTATATATAAAGGAAACATAGGCTGCGCGATTGAATGGTGCACACGCAAGAAGATAAAGATGGAAACGGTCAGGTGTGGAGTGTGAAAGTGTGTGTGCGAGAGATACACAACACAAAAAAGTATTGGTGTCCAAGAAGTATTTAAAAATAAAAATCGTCTTTATGTACAATTTCAATTTGCAATGCGTCTTTATTTCTACCCTCTAAACTCCCCTATACTCCCCCATGGCTCTCTCGATAAAAATCTCCTCACCATCACCTGCAAACGATGTCTAAATTACCGAATATTTGCGTTGTCCCGTATACTTTTACTTCACCTTTGTTTTTCCTCAAATATACCAGATCACGTATTCCAAGTCCAAATAAAATATGCAAGCGTATATAGTCTTGTTTGCGGCCTCGCGGGTCGAATAATTTATCCCTCAAGCAGATCAAACACGCGCGTTGAATTGACCAGGAAAATTGAAATGACAAACAAAATCGATAAAACCGAACATTTTACGTAAGTTCGGAATCATCAAAATCGATCGGCTGAAAACGACACATCAACGAAACACGTTTTTCGAAAAAATTTATTTTTCACCGACACCAAGCTACATATATACGAGACGCAAAATGTGAAACTGTGCGCGCGGAGCTTCGCTTTTCAAATTTCCGCCGGATAGCTGCGGGTAGCCCACCCGCCGAGCGATACGAATTTTAAATCCCGCCACTTCCGGTGACACTAAATCCTCGGATTGTAAGCATCGGCTCCCTTTTTTTGCGCGCAGCGTAAATGTTGTGTACACGTGTAGCAACCAGCCAACAAAACTTCTCGCGATGGAAAAAAAAAAAAAAATCACCGAGAAAGGTACTTTTATCGTTTTTTTTTTTTCCCCTATTCGTTTATCAGCAGCGATTTGCGCAAGTGTATACATTACCATTCTACGCGCGCGAGCCGAGTGGTTGAAAGTTTATCAAGTGCGTGTACGTGCGTCGGATGGACTTACCATTGCCCGCGAAATCGATAGAGCGATCGAGGTGCCACCGGGCACATTGTAGGTCAAACGGGTATCCTCGTGCTGTCCACCATCGCCGAGTTGTATCATTTACCACGAGAGAGAAAAAAAAAAAAAAAACTTCAGTTCCACTCTCAAAAGTATGGAATCGAGGTGGGCGAAAAAAAAATGTAGGCCAAAATGAAGTTGGACGAAGAAACGCGTGTGGTGGAAGTCGGTCCGCGAGGAAATCGAAGGAAAATGGGTATTAGGCGGTGACTCGACGCTCAATCAAAAAAGTTTTCCTCTTCCGCGAGACGACTGCTCCTGGAAAGTTTGCAAGATTCCAGTCTCTATACTGGAGCAAAACTGCAGATCCAGCCAACTCTGTGATAATTTGTTTGGCTTGATTTCGTATCGAGATCCATTTTTTGGTCGTCATCTTGTGGAGCGTGCACTGAAACGACGGCGTTTTCAACTCCCCTACACGCTGCCCTCGTCTGAGGTACTTGTGCCTCGACGCGACGACACCAAAAAAATGGAAAAGAAAAAAAAAAAAAAAACACGTCATCGCGAACATTGTCGCAAAACTAGAAAGGGGTGAGAACGTCGGCGTGTTCATTAGCGACGTTGGTAAAAGGGGACGAAAATCGCGAGAAGAAAACACAACAGCCACTTGACTCTACTCCTCGTTGCGGCTGTGTTTTACTTTTGTCCCGAGTCTTCGTTGTACGTGACTGCATTTCTTCTTCTTTTTTCCTTTTTTTTTTTTTTTTTT